GGGCGGCGGAGGGGTGGACGGAGTGGCAGCTCCTTTGGGGAAGCGCTTGAGTACTTTATCGCGATTAAGCGGCTGAAGGCCTGTTGCCTCAAAGGCTTTGAGTATGTTGTCTTTAGTAAACAATTGCAGCTAAGCAGGCCAAAATAACGAGAAGAAGCTGCCTTTCTTCACCAGCAACAAGCCTTTGGAGCGCTGAGTCTGCTGTGTTAATTGCTGTGAGTACGCTGTCGATAGCGGCTTGAAGAGGACAATGTTGGCTGGCTGGAGCGTGTGAGTACTGTGGGGAGGAAATATTGCTACAAGTATCTTATGTTGATGACAGTACGTTAGAAATGAGCGGCTTATATGGCTGCTGTGACTGTTGATAATGAGCAATTGCCACTTGCGACAAGCTGAGGCCTTAGTTTCTTCGTCAAAGACTTGTTGTAGCCATCTGAGGCCAGCGTCGTTGTTGCTCCAGCCACTTGGGGTGACTGTGACGAAGCAGTGATGCTTTAATTGCTTGATATCTCGCACCCATGCGTCTTGGACGTTGCTGGAGTCTCCAGCCATAATCAGGCCTGGAGGAAGTGCGACTCCAGAAGCCCCAACGCACGCTATAAGCGTTACCCACTCTCTGTTGCCATCCTCTAAGGCCTGCTGGAAGCGCTTATTGCTGTAGCTTGTCCTGCTGAACACTCGTTTCTGCTTGCCAATCTTCCTAATCATGAAGCCCTTCTCATCCATATTGTATGTGTGCTCAGGCTCTATACCCTTCTCGCTTATTTTGAGCTCTAACATGTCAAAGTACAAGCTGTACTTACTATAGGAATCAGCAGCGTGACGTTCGGAGGCCATGGCGGAGGTCCACTGTGGAGTAAGCGCTTCGTGATGCCGCTGGACGAAGCGTGTAACCCAGGTCTTCCCAACCTCAAATCCGCAGATAATAGAGGCAAAATGTTGAACCATATCGCGCGTAGGCGGAAGGTGCTCTCTGCAGAGTTAATCTATGTAATTAACAAGCTCTAGCTCTTTGTAGGGGGTGAGGTTCTGTTGTTGTTTGATCTTCTGTTGCATGGTGCTGTGAACGCCTTAGTGATATCGCGACAACGTCAAACAATCAACACCATGTGCATCTGCAATTTTTTAGTAGCAAAGTTCACCGCGCGCATTAGCTGCGCGTGTGTCTTTAAGTGCGTCTTCTAAAGTCATCGCGTTGTTGAGTTGTAGTGTTGAGGATATTTCGTTGTTTTGGTGATCGCGTGCGGAACGCGGAACCGTGCGGCACGAGCTCCGGCACGGTACTCCACAAGCGAGCTGGCCACCCAAGCGAGCTGGCCACTTTTGCCAAGACCACACCGAACTTCACTCTCCCTGTAATGCCTCAACGCAATAACGTAAAAAAGCCTTTAAATGAAACACATATACAGCTTGCCCTCCAGGCTATCTAGCAAGACGCGACACTAAGCGT